AAGGTGGACGGGAGCTTGATTTTCGATGTGCCCTTGTCGGAGCCCGCTGAGGACGCTGCAGATGCTAGTGTAAATAAGGAGAGAGCGGCAGAGAAGACTGCTGAGGCCTTCATCTTGAAAAGAGAAAAAGAAAGGACGGGTTCATGAACCAGCCCAAATCTTCAAGATTGCCCGATTGCAATTGAGACAAGAAGCGAACAGGCAGTTGGGTGGATTTGGCCGTTGAACAGCCCTCGTTGTCGTCGGTCGGTCGAAGCACTGATTGCACAATCACCGTGGCCTTCTGGCGGATTGGCCATTGGCTCCAAAAACAGCTTACGTTGCCGGAAGACCCCTGTCAGGCTAGAAGCAACCCCTGTCACACAGCTGAGCTCGGGTGGGCCCCTGCTTCGGACTAAATGGCGCCGTGGCTCCGCGACTTCACTTGCTGACTGAAGCTCCAGTGTGGGGGTATGCCAAGACCTCCCATACTAACGTCGAGGCGGCCCCGACCAGAACATCAACTATGTTTCCCAAGGAAAAGCGGCATAGGTTTATTGCATAAATAATTGAATATTAATGGGTCAAAGAAATTAGAGCAACAAGTAACGCGAGTATGTCAACTGTCTTGAATTGTCGTCTTTCAGCGTGGCTACTAGTAGAGGTATCCTTCCCACTACAGTCTGCTCTCTGACTGACATTCGACAACCACATCTCCATGGCGGATATCCACTGAATTCAAACTCGGGTCTAGTCTTGTTACGCTTCCAACAATGCCAACTTTCCCACCCTGTAGCGGACCACTAACCAACCTTGCAGCACAAGACTACACCTAATGGAAGTTCTCTGGGTGCAAGATGCCGTGCATGTTACCCTCCTTCACGCGCTTCAATGTCAAGGCGGCGATCAGAGCAGCCCCAACACCACTGCCATCCTCGGCGGCCAAAATCTCAATGGGGTCCTCCTCCTTAGGGTCAGTCTTCTCGGGCCAGTCCAGGATCTCACGAAGCGCCTGCGCACCACGGGCCTTAAAGTGCGGGTACTTGTTAAATACCGAACCGTCGGCACCGACATGGCACGAGGTGTATCCCTTCTTCTTGCAGATGGCCGCAACACCACAGGCTGAGAGACGAGCGGCGCGGGTGCCGATGAGCTCGGCAGTACGCCGAACAAGCTCCAGTTCGGCAGGGTTGGCTTCGATGCCCAGCTTGGTGTGGAAGAGGTCGCGCGTCTCAGACAGATTCTCGAACGGATCCCTGCAAAGTGTGTAAGTATGGTATTCACAAAAGTTGTTGGAATCGCACAGCTATGCATACTCTTCAATGGCCGAGAGGAAGGACGAGTCAAGAGTATAAGGTCTCCGCAGCTTGGAAATGTCCTGGCCCGAGAAGATGTGCGCACTGTGGTTGTCGTGCAGATCAACCATGACCAATCGGAAGAGCTCGCCCAAATATAAACCGGCAATCATCTTCTCGAACGCCTGCTGGCCGGGACGTGGCGACTCGTTGTCGATGGTGACATCGTACTGTGTTCGAGGAAGCACAAGGTGTTCGTTGTCAAACGCACCCCATTCGCAGTTGATAGCCATCGGCGTGTCTGGAGAAACATCCAGGTGAGCAAGCTTGGGGATCGACCCGCAGTCTTCCATGTAAGCAGCGTTGCAGCCGGTGCCAAAGATACAGCCAATTTTCATCTTAGTGTCAGTGTATGCTGAGGCAATAAGCGTGCCCGTCGTGTCGTTGATCAAGGCCGTAAGCTTGATGGGGACTCCCTTGGCCGCAAGAGCAGCTTCAAACATGGGAACCACATTCTCGCCCTCGACTCCTGCAATGTCAAAGCCCTTGGTCCAGCGCTGAAGCACGCCTTCGTCAATGTAGTTTTGCGTGGCAGGATACGAAAAGGTAAAGCCAAGTGGCAGCGTGTCCATTTTACTAACGTCGCCATGGTGGGTTTCGATAAACTGCATCAGGCAGTCGGCGATGTACTCCCAGAGCTCATCGGCCTGGCCGGTTTTGAGCTCCTCGGGCATCCGATACTTTGACTGGATGATATCGAACTCGGACTTTTGATCGGTAAGCGTGATTTGGCAGACACGGAGATTGGTGCCGCCCATATCGAGGGCGAGAAAGGTGCCAGTCTCGTAGCCAGTAGGGTATGACATGACCCATGTCGGGTTCATGGGCTGTGGTTTGTCCCGGTTAGATGAATGAGCGCACAACCGAGCGGCCAGCTAAACTCACGATGCTCCCGCCCTTGACGCTCAGGCCTGCCCTAGTTGGTCAGCAACGTTGAGAATGATATTTAGCAGAACAAGATGGTCACGAACCCTTCTCCAACTCATTGACAAAGTGATCAGTGATTTGTTTGAGCTTTTGCGTTTCGACCGTGAATAGGCCCTCCAGCTGCTCAATCTCCTTGCTGAGGCCCTGGGAGGCATCGGCAAACGAACCTAGACACATGGTCAGTCAACGCTGCTGCGGGTCGAAGCACTGTATTTGCAAGTGCTTGCCCTCTTGACTTGGCTTAATGCTGCTGTGACGGGTGCTGGGCAGGCTGCCGGTGCCGTGATAGTAAGATCTTCGCTTGGAGAGAGGTGTGCGCTCGCGGACGATGAAGCTTCTGGACTTTTTCAGGGACGCCATCTCGACAAGGGAACGAATAAAGGGATGAATTTAATGTTGTGTGGTGGGAGCGGCAGCTGCCGCGGGGTATTCTTTTGACAGATAGAGCGGTAGATGCGGTAGGTACGGGGCTGAACGTAAGGAAGGTGAAGATAGATTTTTTAGATAGAATGGCGGCAGAACGAATGAGAGCGACGAGGAAATAAAACAGAGCATATCGCGGTTGTATGATAAAGATAACGCCCCGTTTTTGGAGGTTATGTCTGGATCTCGAACAGGGCACGCGACCTCGGACGATTGGTTATGAGGTTGGAGCGATAACATGAATCTGGGAAGGCATCATCCCGTTGTGGTCCACACCTGGAGATCACTTATATCCCCGCGGCTGGTGAGGCAGGTGGTAGTCTGTAGGGGTAGGCAGGTGCGACTTTGAGGCTCAATTCTCGAACGAACTTGATTGTGGAGATCACGGGAATGAGGGGTTGTTCAACACAGCTCTTGTTGCGGCAGACTCGAAAGGTACAGGTACGAAATATTTCCTGACGTACTTCCCTTCCTGGACGGGTGCCGCTTAGGAGCTTGTCCGGCCATGGTGGTAATTCGTTTCTGCGGTGCTCAGGTAGCTGAAGATGACTTTGCTTGCCGATTCTGGATATCTCGCCGAGCTAGGTATTTCGTTGCCTGTCGAACTGGACTTTGGACTGTTAGAAACGGCTGTTGTATTTTTCCCTTCTCCCTTTCTTCGAGAAAGGGAGATCACGGGTTAATGACGCGTCCCAGGAACGACATGGTACACAAAGAAGTTGTTATTCCAGAAAACACTGACTGACAAGAAGCCTCTCGCTGCTGAAAGCAAAAACAGCAACTGAGGCGTTGCTGATATGATGAGAAGGATGAGAATGAGAAGCTCGTTCGGGAAGCAAGTGTGGCAGACAAATTCGGAGAAGTCCGATAAAAATAAGGTTCACGCGCAAGGGGAAGTTTCCTCTGGCACCTCGTCGTTCACCTTTGTAGTCCAAAAAAGGTTGTAAAGTAAGACCGGATGACCGGTTGGCAGGAAAGAGGGTGCTGAGTGAGCTAATGTGAGCATGTCAAAAGCATCCCGTAACTGCCCAAATGACGTCCAATCAGTGGATTTGGTGAGGATGAGCTCTCGAGGAAGGAAGCTGTGACCCCCGCATCGGTCCTAATTCGGTCTAGTGCTGTTGAAACCCCACCATTCCCGAGAAATAAAAATTGGGGGATTCTTCTTGGTCTGCGATTCTCGACATCGACGTCACACGGTGTTTAGGAGCTGGCTTCAGATGGAAGGCACGATTCAGCCACAACCAACGACTCACTTGAGCAATTCACGAAAAAGGCGAGACGGGATTGAAATAAGCCAAAAGTTTTGTTGCCTTCAGTTTGTTCAGTTAATAACCAAATATGATTCTCTGTCAGCACCTGCGCAATTATCAGCCCACCGGCCCCGGCCCTTGTCACACGACCATCGGATATCGTACCAGGCTGCGAGTCTTCCAGGACGCCATCCGAAACATATAGTCACCCATTCCCTTTCCTACATGTACTACTTATCCCATACATTTATGGTAAACTGCTCCGAAGAACCGATCTCCCTCGCCAGGTAAGCAGGGCACTATCTCCATACACACATAATTCAGACTGTCCCAGGACTGAGGATCCAAGTGGCATTTGGTAGCAAAGTTTCAGACATGGGCGTCTTGAGCTTACACTTCTCGCTCGACTTGTGGTTGTATCGATGAGCTCAGCCCAACCTTGGTATCAGTCAGGCACGAATACCCATGCCTCTCTGTTTCATGCGTCTCGCCAAGCTTCTCCAATAAACTGAAGATGAACAGCCGCTGGCCCGCTCTTCGAGGCCGCTGCGCTTCAAGTTGACCTCGGCGCAGTGGTCTAGTGAACGAGGCATTTGAGCCATCGTGGCTTTGTACTCGATGATTTTCGCAGCGATGTTATATCCGGTGGCCCAAAACGAGCCCGAGCTGCGGTCAGAACGCTACTCGGGTGTATTGTCAAGGACGACGGAGAGAGATAACTCATAACCCTCCTCCGTACATTCTCTGAGAAGTTAAGATCACATTGGACTTTAGAGGGATAGTCCCTTGTGCAGCGTCGTAAGTTTTTAGGTTGTCCACATTGATCCTCCTCTCCATGGCCCCGTCATGACATGTTGGAATGAAAGGGAAGTTCAGGTAAACAAACATCAGTCTTGTATTGATGGATACAGTCATGAAGGGAATAGCAAAGGCGTTTCAATGAGTCCCTTTTTTTCTTTTGGCGTATCGTGAGCCTCACAGTCCCGGTAGCACCTGGCGATCTTCACTGAAGCCAGCCGAGGAGTTGTTTCCCAAGACATATAGAATGACAAAAAGGAACTTTTGACTGGGGCGCGATTCGAACGCACGCCTCTTTCGAGAGTAGAAATAACCTTTGCATGTGTGTAAAGGAAGATTATGGATAAGTACCCATACTCTTGAGTCTACCGCCTTAGACCACTCGGCCACCCAGCCATTATGCTTGCTTTGATGCTGATTACGGTTTCTTTTCCAGGCTCAGAGGCTCCATTCCGAGCTTGGATACCGGAGAGCGGATCTCTGCTGCTTAAAATTTGCTGACTCTTATGTTGCCGGAAAAGACAACTTTAATCTCTGGTAGTATCGATCATCACTACGTATCCGTGCCAAAAGCCAGGGACACACGGGGCGGCATATCAGTTCATCCTGCCGTAATGTGGAATCGGGTAAAAAGGGCACAATGAGGGACGGATTGTTGAGGAGCACGTAGACTGCTGTTGCGGAGAGATTGATGTGACAGAGAGCGAGTTTGATGGCATGATAATATGATATAACATTCGAATAACGCCAGGAGTTGTTGTAGGAAGAAAAGCAGTCTGCAGGCCTCTGTCTTGGCAGGGATGAAGTAAACAAATCTCACAGGCGTCGTCATGTCCACCGCAAACGCTTTGTAGAGACTACTTTTATCTACAAAATCACCAGACTCTCGATTTCAGGATAACTGAATCAACCTCATGGTCTTTCATCCTCGGGATCACCAGCGATTGGTTTTGGTGGTGCCGATGACCTCTAAAAGGCGGTTGTCAAACTGATTTGCTGCAGCCCTGTCATGCACTCAAATATTCAACAGATGGACTTTTGCCCACAGCATTAGAGACAATGTAGTACTTGCAATAATCAGCAATACATATCAGCTTAAATGCCAGTCTTTAGCCCTCCATCAACTCAGTTGCAATGTATCATGACCGCATGGCGAGCAGAGCACGGTAGCAGGTATAAGTAAAGAATTACTTTCAACTACAAGCACATACGACCATAGGTACTGGAAAACTCGGGATCCCGTCCGCTCTCCCATAGATAAGCCAGTAACCGCCATCTTAGCTAGGGGAGAGTTCGCTGACTCAGCAATCGCCACCTCCGTCCCCTCTCCGTCTTGTTATTGATCTTTTTATTGGTAACCTCACACAGCCAAAAGCAGAAGATGTAGTGATATAGTTTGGCCACAAAGAGTCACCTAGCGGTCCCGGTCGTCAGGTTAGCCTAGGTATGCTGAACACCAGCGCTGGGTGTCTGTTGAGAATACCCCAACCAGGATGTGACCCGAACGACAGTCAATGGCAATTAATTATGCAACCAAGTATTTCCTCATATGCCGACGATAGTTCACAGTTTAGCATGATATTAAAAATTTTCAGTACCTTTATCTCCTTCTTTATTACCCTATTGAGGTGGTGTGTTGAAAGGAAGG